ATTAGCGGCTTCACGGGGAGCGGCACCGACAAGGACCAGTCTGGCGGCGAGGAGGAGACCACCAGCAAGCGCCGCCGCCGCAGCCGGTGGGACCCGCAGCCGGAGTCCAACGACCAGAGCGGCGGCGAATCGGGGACTGGGCCGAAGAAGAGGAAGTCTCGTTGGGCCGACGACGACCCCAAACCGGTGATTCAGCTTCCTGATTTCATGGGAGGTATCGAATTCGATCCCGAGATTCAAGCTTTGAATAGTAGGCTTCTTGAGATCAGTCGAATGTTACAGTCTGGTTTGCCCTTAGACGATCGTCCTGAAGGTGCACGATCTCCTTCGCCTGAACCTATATATGATAACATGGGTATTAGAATTAACACTAGGGAATATCGTGCGCGTGAGAGGTTGCAGAAAGAGAGGCAAGAAATTATATCTCAGATTATAAAGAAGAACCCTGCGTTTAAGCCACCTGCGGATTATAGACCGCCCAAGCTTCAGAAGAAGCTTTATATTCCGATGAAGGAATACCCTGGTTACAATTTCATAGGGCTTATTATTGGTCCACGAGGTAACACCCAGAAGCGAATGGAGAAGGAAACCGGGGCTAAGATTGTGATCCGTGGTAAAGGTTCGGTGAAAGAGGGGAGGTTACAGCAGAAGAGGGATTTGAAGCCTGACCCTTCGGAGAATGAGGATTTGCATGTTTTGGTGGAGGCGGAGACGCCGGAGTCGCTTGAAGCTGCTGCGGGTATGGTGGAGAAGCTCTTGCAGCCTGTGGATGAGGTTTTAAATGAGCACAAGAGGCAACAGCTTAGGGAACTTGCTGCGTTGAATGGGACTATCAGGGATGAGGAGTATTGTAGGTTGTGTGGTGAGCCTGGTCATAGGCAATACGCGTGTCCTACCAGGACTTCAACTTTTAAGAGTGAAGTTGTTTGTAAGCATTGTGGGGATGGTGGTCATCCAAGCATTGATTGTCCGGTGAAGGGTGCTACTGGGAAGAAGATGGATGATGAGTATCAGAATTTCTTAGCAGAGTTGGGAGGTTCGGTTCCTGAATCTGCGACGAAGCAAAGCAGTACGTTGGCGATTGGTGCAGGCACTTCCGGAAGCAATCCTCCTTGGGCTAACAATGCTGGTACTGCTGGTGGTGCGCCTCAAGCTGGCTTAGGGGCTGCTGCAGTTAAAAAGGAAATCGATGATACGAATTTGTACATCGGTTATTTGCCACCCACTCTTGATGATGATGGCCTGATCCAATTGTTTCAACAATTTGGTGAGATTGTTATGGCAAAAGTTATCAAGGATCGGATGTCGGGTTTAAGTAAAGGATATGGTTTTGTGAAGTATGCCGATATAACAATGGCAAATAATGCAATCTTGGCCATGAATGGTTATCGCCTTGAGGGTCGAACCATTGCAGTGAGAGTTGCTGGTAAGCCTCCTCAGCCTGTTGTACCTCCCGGCCCACCAGCATCTGCTGTGCCCACTTATCCTGTTCCAAGTCAGCCACTTGGGGCATATCCATCCCAACAGTATGCTGCCGGTGGCCCACTTGGGAGTGCTCCTCCTGGGAGTTATGGTGGTACTCCGGTGCCATGGGGACCCCCTGTTCCTCCTCCATATGCTCCTTATGCTCCTCCTCCACCTGGGTCAACTATGTACCCTCCTATGCAAGGTCAACCTATGCCTCCTTATGGGGTTCAATATCCTCCCCCTGTGCAGACTGGCCCCCCTGGTGCCCCATCCCAGCCTGCAACTTCTAGTGAAATGCATCCTAGTTATCCTCCCGGAGTGCAGTCCGACAATAGTACCTCAACTCAGTCTGTACCACCAGTCAATGTATATGGTAACTCGGTACCTTCAATGCCACCTGCAGCTCAACCTACATATCCTCCATCTTATGGATATCCACCTTACTATAATGCAGTTCCTCCACCACCTCCCCCTCCTGCCCCCGTTCCTGTCTCAACATCAGACCAATCCCACAACATTGCAAATGTGCCTTGGGCCAGTAACCCTTTAGTGTTACCGCCTGCATCTTCTGTAGAGAAGACAACATATGGTGCAGATCAATCCCAGAGCATTGCTAATGTGCCTAGGGCTACTAATCCACCAGTGCCATCTCCTGCATCATCAGCCGAGAAGACTTCATATGCTGCTGATTCAGAGTATGAGAAGTTCATGGCAGAGATGAAGTAATTTTGTTCAATAATGATTCGGAGCTCCAAAAGGTACGTTTGTCATCTTGATTTCTTGTGTTCAATAGTTCACCTTATACATGTTATACTCTGATATGATTTAGCATTTGATTCCCGAGTTGCTTTCGCCAATGTAAGAAGGCTTCAATTTCTTTTGAAATACGGAACCCTTTTAGAGTTGTTGGTTTCACAAGTTTTTTAAAATTTTCTAATGTAAGTGCCATTTTGGAAGTTATTTCAGCGGACGAGCATCTCCTGAAAACCATGAGCTTTTTCTGATTTTCCTAATTAGAGACAAGTGGGACCAAGATTTATTTTATTTTAATATTTTATTCGGGGGGTCTTATTACATTAATGCTATGAAAATCAACTTTTATGTGACCATGTTCATAGTGAAAAGCTGCTGGACGTCTTTCAAGTTTGGATTTTTTCTGCAAGTTGATGGTTATTGCTTTTTCTATGCACATTTTGTTTCGTTAGCACATCTTTGCTTTATTCTTATTGCATTTTGGGGTTTTTTAACGTTCCCAAGGTTTCTTAATTTTGTTTTGTATTAATTTTCCCTGTAGTTTATTTTTCTGCACTGCAAAAGACTCTACAAACACTCTGACCCCTCAAAAAAGCTATTTTAGTTAACATAATGTATTCAATGTTCTTTGTTAACCTTTTTGCCCTTGAATTCCACCTGGTTTTATGTATAACTGAAGGGCCCTTACAGAGGAAAGGGTAAACCGGTATGAATGTGACTGTGTAAGTATGTGATACCTACACAAATATTTTCTTGGATTTATTTTCTCCAGCTCATGTATGAATGTGATGGTGTCTGGTCTCCTTAATAATTTTTTGGTGCATTGGAGCAGAAACTAGTTACAGTTTAATGCTTCAGGTATAAAATCCAGATCTTGATATGAATTAAGAAAGGGAATTTCTGTCGTATTTTATGTATTGGTTGATATCTATGCAGTAATGCATATGCTTCAATGTATTGTTTTGCATATTTCATCCTTAAATTTCATTCATGGTTTTAAAAAAATATCTGTCGTTTTCTTCCTCTTGACAGTGTCCTTTCTCAACCGTTGTGATCATGCATAAAATCAACAATGGCCTTTCTGTTTTTTTGTTTATTTGATATTTTTCATGATATTACCTCTCTTAACTCTTCATTGTTATGATGTAACGTTGTGACAGGCCTGATGTTTCTTGGAGCTCTTGTGAACCTGATTTCTTAACCTCTTGCCATGTCTTTCTTGGAAGTTTGGGACTCACTTCTTTAACCTTGCTGTACTGTTATGAAATTTGCAGAGATTCGGGCTAGAAGTTGATAGCGGTCTTCATACGGCAGAAGGCAAAATCATATTATAGTTGTGATTATTATTAATCATTTCTTGTCATGTAGGACTTAATACTGTCTGAATTATTTTTTCTGTGGCATTTTTTTTGATTTACACAGTATTAGTAATGTTTGGTTGCTAATGTTTCCTTTTGAAAGTTTGTTTGAACTTTTATGGCAGCTGGTTCCTGGTGTTTCACATTGATACTTTTCTTGTCAGTTTTGGTTGTTTTAGACTCTTAATTCCTTCAGAAACTGATTCTAACTTACTCATAGTTTTGGTGATGAGCTTAAATTTGTTTGTTTGTTTGAGGATTCTAGTTCTTTTAATCGCTTGGTGCTGAAGCTGCCTTTTAGATGCCTTTAGTCATCAAACATCTCATCATGAAGGTAATCAAGCCTTGCTATTTGCTGTAGGCATTCTGGGTTTGGTAAAAAGAGATTTTTTTAATGGTTTGATCATGCAACTTTAAAATGCATTTAACAGTTCCAGTGTGACAGGTAAAAGAGTTGAAACTTTTTTCTGTTACTGGCATTATAAATGTCAGATGGTGGCATTTTTACCTTTTGCCGCAAATTAAAAGTTTAGCTGACATGGTGTTATGAACACCAAAGTTCTTGTATCATGATACAGGCAATTATCAAGTTTCTCATTTGTTTCTGAAGTGATCATGTGGTCGAGTTGACACGGCCAATGTTATTTGGCATAAGGTGAAGGCTGAGGTGAAAATGATTGTTGATAGTGTTTGACTTGTCTGCACATGCTTCGTTTAGCCGTGTTGCTGGGCGAAGATAGAGTAAATGATCAAAGAATTGGAGTTGTAGACAATTTTTCTATATTTTTCCTGCTTTATATTTGCTTTTTTGATTTTAAACTGCTTTGTATTGTCACTAGGGATACATAAAGTTTTCGAATTCATCTTGCAATATTAGGTCATGGTCATCAATTCCACGAGTCTTTTATAGTTCGCTGGTGTGCTGTTTTTTTATTTATTTTTTTTCCCGTTTCAGGTGCGGTCTGTCATAAAGTGACAGTACCCGTTGTTTAAGTAACTTTAAGATGTTAAGAATTGAGTGGATATGTTGTTTTCATGGTTTGATAACAAGTAGGAAGTTTAGACACTCGAATTGCAAGGAAAGAGTCTTTGCACAATTGTTATGGTCCTCTTTACCCCACATTTTTACTTGAAACCTAACCAGTCTATCGTAGTAAATCAATTGTAAGGTTGCATGTTTAGGGTTTAGGGTTTGTGGGGTGATACTTACCCCTATGGATCTTGAACATCTGCTTTGAGTCCGTTTACTTTATGTTAATGGAGTGCCGTGTCGCTCGTGCTACATTTATAAAGGTCATGTGTTACAAGCTTTTTATAATTTTCTTATTAGTTAAGTCACGATTTATGGTTATCAATGTGCTGCTTGCCTGCCACAAGTTTTTGATAACATTGAAAGCGATGCAATTGGTGACTTTCTCGTGTGGTTTTGCATGTTTTTCTCTATGCCTAGGTTATAGCAGAGTGGAATCGTGATTCATTCTTCACCTTGTATAAGATGTGATCCAATGAATAGGACATTAATAATTGGGTGAAGTGGTGAAAGACTTGCGTATCAGCAAATACATATATCGAGTACGAACTACAACAGAAAGAGATAATAATGATTAAGTGAAAATGCCGATTTTGGTGATGCAAAATATTATTACGACATTACTTTTAAGTCGAACTTCATATTCCTTTGAATAATAATGTATGAATTTCTTTTGCGAATATCGGCGCGTACATAATGAGTATATATATTTTTGTGGGGTAATAGAAGGTAAGTAAAACAAAAAGAGAGAATTACGCTTACAGTTTTTGGAAATTTTGATTCGTCGCATCATTCCTAAGTAAAGCAACGCATGCATCTCAACAGGATGCGTATTTAAAACCGAATACCAAACCTCGCGTTTAATCCCTTCGCATAATGAGTAATATGGGATAGTTATGGCTTTAAAGTGCATTGATATCTGATAATCTGCTACTGGAAACATCTATAATTAATTTTTAGTACATGCAAACTTTGTCAAGGATTTTTTTAACCGTATGTGAATGTATCCGATATAAATCTAAAAATATTTACTAAAACAGTCCAAGTCAACAATTGAGTTGTCAAATTCAGTAGGAAGTGGATTCTCTTATTGTTGATTTATTATTTTGTGTATGTATTCGATATAATTCGAAAAATATTTACTTAAGTAGAGCAAGTCGACAATTGAGTTGTCGAATACAGAGGGAAGTTTATTCTATCGTTCATTTATTAATCTATGTAATTAAAAAAAAATCAAGATAGCTATTACTAACAATTTTTTTCTTCAAAATTGGAAGTTAACATTGATTGTTAACTTTGTTACTATTTTTAATTTTAAAAATCTAGTAATATTATCTGGGGTATGCATGGATTTTTGTGTGTAAATAATAATATAATTAAATTTTAAATATATTTAGTATTTATAAAACAAGTCAGTTTCAATGTTTGTTTTTGATTTTTTTTTTTAAAAATTGTAAACTGTTTTTATTTTTATTATTTTGTAATATAAATAAGTTATAAATATATTTTTAGTCTTTATAAGATGAGTGAGTTTTAATTTTGTTATTGAATTTTTTTCTCTATTTTTATTTTTCTAAAATTAGTAAACATTAATTTGTCTTTACAATATATTTTGGTCCTTGTAAAATGTGTAAGTTTTGGTACTTGAATAACTTTATATTAAATGTGAATTTTGTAAATCTAATTGTTAGATTGAAAGTTTTTTATTCTTATATATATACAAAATTTTATATTAATCCAATATGATTTAATACTTCATTCTTATAAAATAAAATTGACGTAATATATACATTTTAAAATATATTAAAACATGAACACTTTGTTGTTCAATTTTAACAAAATTTGATATAAACATATAGAGTGAAATGAACTTTCAGTCTAACCGTTGGATTTACAAATTTTACATTTAATATAAAGTTATTGAACGGTGTAATACTTAGTAAAAGTTACATCAGTATTATTATAACCCTCCTCTCTTTCTCTCTCTCTCTCTGTCTCTCTCTCTCTCTCTCTCTCTCTCTATATATATATATATATATTCAAAAATATCAAAAACTCACATATATAAAAATGCAATATCTTTTTACAATTTTATTAATAAAAATGTTTGTATACATTTATATATGTAATTTTTTATAAAAGATGTAATCAATAATTAATATCATTAAATTTTTGTATATTTTATTATACCTTTATAGTTTTTAATATTGATATTAAATAAAAATTTAGTTACGTAAATTTGATAGAAAAAAATCATGAAACTTTTTATTTATATTAATTTAAAAATATACATAATTATTTGCATTAATTTAAAACTTTTCATAATTAATTATTATTATAACTGATTGTATATTATGTCATGTTATTAAAGTTTGTTATATTAATAATTTTTCATATATTTATGTTGGTTTTATAAACAAAATTTGGTGAATTTTTTTTTATAAAAGTATTATCTAAATACATAACATTATTTTTCAATAATTATTTTCCATCAAATATTAATAATTAGTATAAATATTTTACATGGAGTTTAACATAATAATTAATCTTAATCAAATTATATTTTTTCATTTACAATCACTTTAAAACTGTAATAATTAAGCAGTAAACAAAATTAGTTAATTTTTTATTTGTTGACATAAAATCTATAGTTATTTTTATTTAATTTTATTCATTAATTATAGAAGTACAAATTATAACGTTTTTATTAATTATTATAGTATTACTTATTTTAATATATTTATTTATTTTTAATATCAATTTAATATTATATATATGTATATAGTATAGTTGGAGATTTGAAGGAAACTTCTTCCTTTTATATTATTAATTGTTATTTTTTGTATTTTTTTTTTAATTAGAGAATTCCTAAACCGGGGTGCCTCTGGTTATTCTTTGCCTATTATTTTTGCCATTACTACAAGTTTATATGTATATAGAGAGAGAGAAAGGGGGAGGGGAGAGGGAGGAGGTAATAGTTTAATTTAGGAATAAATTTATCTACACTTATTTTATTTAATGACTCATGTTCATAATCAAATTTCAACGATCCAACCGTTGAATTTAAAATTCTTAATGTATAAATTAATTATATAAATTTTTAAAATATTTCAAAATCATTTAATACTTTATTTCACTAATTAAAATTGATGGATAATTATAAAATTATTTTATATGTTGATTTGAATCAATGAAATAAAATATTAAATGATTTTAAAATTTTTAAAAATTTGCAGATTTTATCTATGCATTAAGAACTTTAAATTCAATAGTTAAATCGTTAAAATTTTATATAAAATATGAGTTATTTAATAAAGTATGTCTATCTAGACTTACTCCTATAATAAATAGATCATTCTTTATATATATATATATATATGTGTGTGTGTGTGTGTGCGCGAAAGAGAGAGAGAGAGAGAAAGAGAGAAAGGAATGATCAAATGACTCAAAGAATAAGTTCACTTAAACTTACTCTACTTAATAACTCATTTTACATCAATTTTTAACAACCTAATTATTGAGTTAGAAGTTTTTAATGCATATACCAAATTTATAAATTTATAAAAAATTTAAAAATTATTTGATACCTTATTTTATTAACTAAATGTAGCGAATAAACATTAGAACATTTTATACGTCGATTTGAATATATAAATGTTATCGTTTCAATAATATTTGTTTTAAAAAATAAAGTTAATAATTTTGAAAATATGGTTGGATTAATTTTTTTTTCATGTTTTTAAGATTACAACTTAATTTATTTGTATCTTTTCAATCTCTCAAAGAATAAAAACTAATTCACAATAGATTTATTGAAACTACTTTATTGACACAGTCTTGTAAATCCCTTGCTGAAAATGCTTGTGTATTGGATGTTAGTATTTGGAGTTAAATTAGACTTAAATTCTATTTCTAATAAAAAGTTTTAAAAAGACACGTGTTGTAACTTGATTTAAAAGTAGTATCTCAAGGTCAACATTAGACCTCATTTAAAAAAGATTGAGGAATGTTTTATGTTGTGTAAATGTCCTGTGCCCTTATAAACGAGATAAATATTAATGGTGAAAGTTAAAAGTATTTAATATTTACTATGAACTTTTTTAATCGCAGATTATTTTAGTAAAATTATTTTTATTTATTTATCATTTTTAAAATTTAAAATAACACTAGTTACTTTTTTTGTCAATTATATATTTTTATACTATCAAAATTTTAATTAATTTATACACTGGTAATTAATATATATATATATATATATATATATTATAATATAAAAATAAAAGAAGATATAATAAAAAATATCAAAATTATTTTATAAAAAACAAAAAAATTTATTACGTTGTGAATAACAATCTTAAATAACTATTAAAAAAATATAAGTAATAATTATATCGTCATTTCAAAAACTAATGACTTTTTTTAAAATTTTAATTTTTCATGATTTGATCAAATAGTCATGATTCATTCTTGTTACTCTTTCTTTTCTAATAATAATCATTAATTTTTACCATGAATGATTAAAATATATATCACATTAAAATTTAACAATTATAAGAAAAAAGTATTGAATTTAAAAGAGAATATACCTCAGACAATTGTCAATATTGCACAATAATTTAGAGGTAGAACTATATAAGAGTAATAATCTCTTAATTAATCAAATATAAATATGTGACTATCAAAAGCTCAGTAGTCGAGAAATAAGTAAATGCTTAAAGTAGTTAATAGACTTACATAAATGACAAGGCAGTTTAAAACAGTTATTAAATTTATTTATATTCAGATTTACAATTTTACAAATATTTTAAATTTTCTTAATAAAATTAAATAACAATTATTTTATGACGTTTCAATATGTAATATAAAGTGGAGGCGGAAGTCATAAATTGTGTCGTAAGTGTAGTGGTTGGAACCCAACGCTTTGAGAGTGAGGGCAACGGTTCGAAACCCTTTTTCGCCAAAATAGGCGTTTTTGGGAGTTCATCGTTTTGGTGTTGTTGTGGTTGAACTGCGAAGCCATGGATCCAGATCAGGTCTCTTCAAGAACACGGAAGGTACTCTCACACACCAAATCCCTCTTTGTCTAAAAGTTTTAGGGTTTAAATTGATGTTGTGTGTCGTTGTGTTGGTTCAGCTCAAGTACCCTCCCAAACCTCCGCCGAAGCCCAAACTCCGAAAGCCCAAAGCGTAATGAATTGAGCAAATTATGTTTGAATTCCGCATAGAATAATCGAAACATTGTTGTCTGATTCTGGAAATTGGTACGGTGCAGCGAAGCCAACGATAAACAAAAGGAAGATAGCGCACAGGCTCGATCTCTCTTGCGTCGATGTGTAAGTCATGGATTTTCGTGTTCATTCTTCGTCTTCAGTGTTGTGTGGTGTTGTGTTAAGATAACTCTGAAAATTTCCAATGTAGAAAGGTTAGCCAAAAATGAACTATAAAGATGAGAAGGGTCTTTTAGAAGAAAAAGAAAAATTATAATTTAATACTACATTAGGCAATTTTTTTTTACATTATTTTTTTAGTCAAAATTAGCTGTCCACACTCTACACGCTTCTTTAACTACTGCTTTTATTTTTGAAAAATAAATCCCCAATTATTATTATTTTTAAATTATAACTAAAATAATTAGGGAAAATAGTAATGATACGTCTATTCACCATTAGGCAGCAATTGTTACGTTAAGCAAATGAAGTTTTTTTTTTTTTTTTTTTTTTTTTTTTTTTCACACTCTACACGCTTCTTTAACTACTGCTTTTATTTTTGAAAAATAAATCCCCAATTATTATTATTTTTAAATTATAACTAAAATAATTAGGGAAAATAGTAATGATACGTCTATTCACCATTAGGCAGCAATTGTTACGTTAAGCAAATGAAGTTTTTTTTTTTTTTTTTCTTTTCTTTTCTTTTCTTTGTTATTTTTTCTTTCCTTTAATGCTAAAGGGTTACTGATTCGTTTTTTTTATCTACGTTTGCAGGAGAGTCTTGCAAGACCGGAGCCTAAAGTGGAAAGAAAATGTAAATGTTCATTTGTTTGGCAAAACATGATTTCTTGTTTGTTTTCATAATCTTACATGCCGAAAGACATCGTTGAAAATATGAACATTATTTAATCACTCTATTTCATGATAGTTGCATGCTTTTTAGAAAGTTTTATGGTTAATGCTGAAGCTTGTTAAATTAAAGATAGCTGTTATATATGGAGGTAAATATTTTATTCACCTTGTTTGCTGCTTATTTTCGTTGTTTAAAACTTGCAGCGAGCGCGGAAGTTGCATTTAGTCCTGCAGTTTCATCTCCTTCCCTCAGGACATATGGCACAAGCAATGGCTCACCATCTAAACATTTTTCTAATGAGCAAACTCTTTTAATACGTTCTTCGGCTGCTACTGAGGAGGATCAAAATGATTTTCGTATGATAGATGTTACTGATGATGCCACCAATGCATCAGCCACCAATGCATCAGCCACCAGAAACAAAGGAGAGTACAAGGAACTATGGGTGAGAAATTGTGATCACTCTTCTATTCTATTTTTATCTCTCTATCTTTCTCATTACATCTAAGCATCTAAACCTTGAACTACAGGACTATGACCACTCTTACTATCCTACTACTCTTCCACTGAGGAAGCCAAATTCTGGAGATCCAGGTTTGTTCTCATATATATCAACAAATAATCTATTGATAGAATTAATATTCATGAACTAGACTGATAAATGCCCGAAGGCAGCTTTTACACTATGTAGAAGATATTTTTTAGCAAAAGTATTCAAATTTTTTTTTATAACATTGACAGTCATGTATTGATTTTTTAATCTGGTAGAAATTCTTGATGAGGAAGAATTTGGGGAAGCTGCTGCTAGTGTGGAGTATGATGAGAATGCTGTTAATTCTGCTGCAGAACTCGGGCTCTTGGTTAGTAGTCGTAATGACATATAATAAAGTACTTGTCTAAGTTACACAGCATAAACTGTGATATAATGCATAGATAATTTTTGAACAGGAGAAGAGTGAGCAACAAACGATGCTTTTCTTTAAGTTTCCTGCTGCTCTGCCTTTGGAGAAGCAGAATAATAAGGGCAAAGAGAAAATTGGTACATCAACAGTAACGGGAGAGCCCACAAAGTCTAAGGGAATTGCTTTGGAAGAGTTGCCAAGGGGACATATGGGCAAAATGCTGGTGTACAAGAGTGGAGCAATCAAACTAAAACTAGGAGAAACTCTATTCGATGTAAGTCCTACCTTTTTTTTTTTGTCTATAGAAATTACTATGATAATAATAAAGTTTCTTGTGCATATTTATTGAATCACTAATCACTCGGTTGGCTCTAGCTGTGCTCTTACCCATGTTTTGAATTTAACAATTGCCATTCTTGCCCAAACTTGCCCTTTTAAATTAAAGCTACCCTTTGCTATTTGCTAAAAATGGTATGTGTACAATTAAAAGTACCCCCCACTCATTTGCTTTTTGCCCATCTCAATTTATTATATTTACTAAACTAAAGTCGTTGTCGGTTTACTTTTCGCTCATGAGTCCAATTTAATTGTGGAATATCCGATGATAAAAGGGTAGGTAGATCCTGGGTAAAAATATCAAAATTTTACTTCTTTTACCTTGTAACTACAATTATTGCATTTGATTATAATATAATTACGTTTCTCTCGCAGGTTTCTTCAGGTACAAATTGTGTATTTGCTCAAGATATTGTGGCAATGAACGCGGCACAGAAACAGTGTTGCAATCTTAGCAAGATTAATAAAAGGGTTGTTGTGGTTCCTGATCTTGATTCAATTGATCTGTAAAACATTCGAGGCAAATATGGCTATGCGCCAAATTCAGAGATAGATAGTAGAGTACCTTCGGCTTATGTGAATATATGTGACTAAAAAGGCATTGTTGATTAGCAAGTATAAATTGGATACTAGACCTACCAATTTGACATTAACGAAATATCAAGCGGAAAATCGAAGACATTCTTTTCTGTTATTGATTGGTTAGAATATTTGATTCTATTTATGACAAAATATCGTTGACTAGTATCGACATATTTCACTTCTCAACGGATTCGGTCCTTTAATTGTATGCAAGACTGTGGATACACTTCTAACTAGGAATTAGGGATGACAAATAAACCCGTACCTGTGAGTAATACCCGAATCTGTCCCGACTTTGACGGGGAATACCCGCTTTGACCGAGTACGGGTACGGGTACGGGTAAAATCCGATAAAAAAAAATCGGGTACGAGTACGGGGTCGGGTATATACTTACCCGCCCCGTCTCCGTCCCCGTCCCCATCCCCGTCCCCGGTTAAATACCCATCCTCGTTTAATTATTTTAAAAAAATTAACATTTTAAATATTATTGTAAAATCTAAACGTCACGATGAGCAAACACTTAGGTTATTGTTTCAATTTTTCAAATGTGATTCGCAGTCCATACAACAATCCCTTTCCGCTTCTCTCTCTTACTCTTCACATTCACATTCACCTTCTCCCATTTCACCCTATCTGCCACCACCGTCACCACCGCACCCGACGCTTCCGGCAACATCGACTTCATCCGAGCAAGCTGCAACACCACGCTATACCAGGACCTCTGCCTCTCACGCTTCGCCGTCGCAGTGCACCGCAACCACGCTAACCTCGCCCGCGTGGCCGTCGCCGTCTCCCTCTCCAAGGCCCACGGCGCGGCCGCCTACCGCACCAGCCAGTCAGCCACGGAGCCACCGCATCAGCCACGAGTACTCTTTCTGCTTCACTTCTGCGTGTACATGGGTACAATGCTTTAAAGGGTCTTCTTTTAAAGCACATGCTTATCTATTTGTATATGAAAAACAGGTAGTTTTGGACTGTAGTGTGGAGCTGTTCAGGCAGATCCTTGCAGCTTCAATTGGGGTTTTGCTTTTCGAATAGGATCCAGATCGTTAAAAAAAAATTTAAAAAGAATATTTTTTTACGGGTACAGGTACGAGTATACTCGATACCCGACGGGGACGGGGATGGGACAAAATTTACATACCCGACGGGTATGGGAACGGGTATGGATTTTAGTCGCGGGGACGGGGACGGGTATCATGAAACCCGTACCCGCCCCGCCCCGTTGCCATCCCTACTTCTAACATTAGAGGTAATTGTTTCCGCAAGAGAATCTCTCAAAATCTCCATCCTAATTAATTCACCAAAAACAAAATATCGTGGTAATTAAAAAATAAAATAGAATTCTTAGCAGGGAATAGAATTAGAAGGCCCCGTCAATCAATAATATAAAATCACAAATAATTTTTTTTCACAATAGGTTGAAATTTTTTAAAAATCCTCAATTAATTTTTTTAAGGAGATATAATTCATTTTCATCAACTCAACTTATTTAATTCTTTTGATTAAAGAACATAAATATCAAACTACTCGAAGAAATATTTTTTGATCAACTTTATTTTTTTCATCCTTTTACATTATTTTATAGAAGTGGAAAATAATTTCTATTGATATATACAAAAAAAAAAAAAAAAAAGCCAAACTAATGAAATTCACAGCAAAATATGAGTACGACATAGATGTAAACAATCCTGCATACCAAATAATAGTTTATTCTATTTTTTTTTTGTCTAAAATGTAGCAAAATCTCATAGACTATTTCGTCTAAGTTAAAAGAGGGGTAAAAAAACTAAGCATCTCTATCCCAAAGTTTTACCCACAGGAAATCACATCAAAGATGAAAAAGAATTATCGACGCATTGTTAAACTATCCTATGTCCCAACTATAGACATTGAGTATTAGAATAATAAATACGGTTCAACACCACTGTAAGGAAGATCATCATGGAAAACATGACAGAAACTCTCAGCTTATCTTTAAATGAATTTGACTTTCCTTCACATGAAGTTTTACAGTGATGCTCACTTTTAAACAACTTCTTCACAATCCTAGTAATTTTCTCAATTGCTTCCATGAGTTTGGCTTTTACAGCATCAGACATCCGCATTATAATGTTTTTTGTATCAGGGGAATCATTGTTAACCATTCCATTTGAACTCCCATCACTCTCTACAAATTTCAAGTCAAAATTAATCAAATCGTAATGCCAATACAAATATGGAATAGTGTCATCGTAACACATCCAACATGTAACAAGGGAAACTAAAATTATGTTTTAGTTATTAATAAATATATACATTAATAGTAAATATGAATAAAGTAAGCAAAACCAATTCTACCAGTTAATCTATTTCAGTATGCAATAGTTAAAAACTAACCTCCACTTATTGTCTTCTTTAGCTTCCGTACTAGTTCATTATTCTGTACAGCATCCCAAACAGATTTATCTGATGATAATGATTTTACCATCCTCTGCAGTAAGACAGTAATTTTTTTAATTCCTGTAATAATTAATGAAAATGCTCTTTACTCAAAGACTTCACTACCTTCCTAATTTAGTTCCCCATATACACACAAGATTAAGTGAAATACATGTCAAAACAACATGACTTCTAAAAGCTTAATTTATAAATAATTATCCATAAAGCAGAACCACATTTTGGAAAACATTACTTTTTCGGTTCATTATGATCAATAGCTTCTCACATAATCTACCAGAAACTGTTTGACCTATCCAGAAACTAAGAAGAATAAACAGCAGTTTGTGTCACTCCTTTTGTTTTTTCTACCCTTTTGTGGTGTGCTTACAAGAGGCTCAAAAACCTTGCAAGGGAATGACCAAACTCGGTATTAAGGATTTCCTAAAGAATCTGATGTCACTTTTCATTAACTAATTTTACTTTACTTAATTCTAAAATTAACAGAGCATACAAAGTTCTGATGTTCAATATCTCTGCACACAGATCATAATATTTCTACAAATTTAAAAACTAATAAATTAATTAAAATTTTATTAATAATTCTATATAAACATTTGAGTTTCTTAATTAAAATAGAGTTATAGACCATATACTGCACCTGAGCACATGCATCACTCTGCAATATATGAATTGCAAAGTTATTTCTCTCAAATTCATCATCTTGTAACACTCTTGAATTATATAGAGACAGGGGGGGTTCTGTCCAGTCTGTCTCTAATCCATCTGAGGGAACTTGATCAACTGAAGGGTTATATGTAACAAGTGGAGAAGACCAATACAGCCTGCACATAAATAAAATAGTCAAATTTACTCGATAATAATATTATTTGGATATTTTAGTATCACTGATTCACTATGTTATTAATACAAAATATCTATCAATTTTATAATGATAAATCTATGATTCCTCTCCCAATCAATATTTTTTTTTCTTTATTGTTCAAACTCAAGATTTTACTTGAGAGATTCAAACTCAGTTCCAATAAAAAAAATACACGTTGGTAATATTAGTTAATTTAAAAAATAAGAATTTTTTTTAATAAATTTATCAAAAAAGACAGAAAATAGAATTATATTCTTTATGCTAGACAAAACTGTTAGAAAGGCATTATAGAAATTGAAATAGTACAAATATTGAAATAAGGAAAATAGGAAAGGGAAAAAAGTCCAAAGAATTAAAATAGTTAAAATATTAAAATAACTAAACAGTAAGGGGGAAAATGTCCAAAGAAAGAATCAATCCTAAATTTCGGCTAGATGTCACATAATTTGGCATGCATCGAGTAAAAACAAACAAGAGCAATTTAGAAACATTTGGAGGTTTCACCAAATGTTTCATATTTCTCTCTCTCTCTCTTATTTTTATTTTTTAATTTGATTGTTTGAAATACACTACACTCCAATAAACTAATCATACTGTATATCGGAATTAAAAATTGATGTAAACATTGAAAAAAATAAAAATCAAGTGATCATATGCAGTTTCAAGAAATCTGATGAACATCTGTATTGTATGACAAAGGTTGCTTACTGTTGAAGAAAAGAAAGAGCATTTTCGATCTCAGTCTCTGAAGGAACAGGACCAAAAAGAGCATGAGAGTAATCATGTTGAGTGGAATCAATAGAAAGTGCGTTAGAGTCAGAATCTATAGAAAGTGCGTTAGAGTCATCAGCACTCATGTCAGAAAAAATGCAAATTGGGTAAGCCAGACTGAACCAAGGATACTCATTGCATGTATCCTTTGAAGAAGCAGTGTCAGTGATTGAAACACTGTTATTGTCATTGCAATCAACATCAGACACTGACTTAGCAAACATCTTCCTACCACAGAAAAACAACCTCTGATGAAACAATTAGGCCACACAGATTTGTATTAGAATACACATAACTCCGCTCAGAATCTATCACATTTATTGTGTTTACAATAAAGGATATCAGTGTTGATATTTTTCAGGAGATACCAAATATAGAATATAATAATAATTATTATTTTTTTTATTTTTTATTGAGTCACATTCTATGAAAATAAAATGATAATTCTGAAGACAGAGACAATGTTTGCTCTCATATTTATGTCAAAACTTCTTTTGATATATAATACAGAAAATTTGTTTCTGATTGTTGTCCTTTGATTGGTGACATTGGCATTATACTACAGAGTACAAGCCTTATATGTACAGTCTACCTTTTCAATATTATATAAATGTGAAGTTGGAGATCATGAAATATAAACCTTACATATTACATTAATTATAATAACAAAATTATTGTACAAACATCATCATATTTTTGTATTAATAATATTTTATTATAATTTATAACTTCTGATACTCAATATCTATTTTTCGTAATTAATATTAATCACTTAATTCCAATGAAAAATCTATCAATAAAATATGTCATTAAAAATATTTTTAATAAATTTAAATATATTTTTATTCTTTATAAAATAAGTGAGTTTTAGTTTTAAATCTCTAAAAAGATCCTTTGTTTCCATCATTTTAAATTTCACAAACATTATTTTTATCTTTGCAAAATGATTAAATTTTGATTTTGATTTTTGAAAATGTTTTTATTTAATTTTTATTCTTTTAAAATTTAAAATTTTAATTATTAGTTTTAACGATCATTTTAAAGTAAATAAATAATATTTATTTTAAAAATATTTAAAATAAAAGTTTAAAAATACACAATGATGACATAATGTCACCTTAAAAAAAAAAAGAAGAAGAATAAGACATAATATCACCGTGTATCATATTTTATTTTATTAAATTTTACATTCTCGGGTTATATTTGTCTTATTGCATAAAAACTTATTTTATTAGTATACATAAAAACTTATTTTATACTATATTTTGTAGAAATGCGTCACATGTTCTTAAAAAAGTATTTGACTAATAGTAAAATGATTTTATTTTATTTTTTTTTATGTAAAACAAACTAAAAACTATGAAGTATAAAATTACTACGTTCAAGCATATATGACTTGAGGCAAAAATATTTTAGTTTGATTCTAAGATTTGAATCGAACACGTTTCTACGAAATAAGCTTATTTTAGAGATTTAATATAATATTAGTATTTTAATTTGTATAATTTATATGTTAAATATTTATTATATATAATTAAATTTTATAATAAATTATATATATAAATAAATAAGATTTTTTATCTATTGACAAAATTACACACAAACACAATAAATATTTAATCTAGGTCCTTTTATTTCTATTTCAATTCCTTCTCTTCAACCATTAGACTAATTCTAATGGCTTATACATATAAATAAATAATATGTGTTAAAAAATTAGATAAGTTAAAAAATTCTTTAATCAAAGAAAAACTCTTAAATATGTTTTTGCACAAGATAGAAGTTTAAGATTTAATGTATAGAAGTTGATTTATAATAATTTATTTTAAATTTTATTTTGAAATAAGATTTTTAAAATAAGTTTAAAGTTTAATGATTATACACCATCAATTTAAAAATTTATATATTATTAACTAATAAAAATTATTACTAGTATGATTTTTAAGATAATTATCATAAAAATTTAAAAATTCTCATACATGATAATTTATGATTAAATAATAGTTTCTCCGAGTACATAATAAATTTTTTATTTATATTTAAATTATTATCTAATACATTTAGATCGAAATATAATTCAGAGATTACTTTTGGGGGATGTATCATTTTTCATTTATAATTCAATAAGTTTATAGGCTTTGCATGTACGTCAACATGCTTAAAGTTTTTAAAAGGTAAGTAAATATATAGTAAATTGGACCGACACAATTCAGATTTTGTGAAACTTCTCCCCATATCCCTCTTTTTTCCATCACAATACTAACCCCATAATATTGTTTGAAAATACTATACTCACACCCTATATACATTATACTAAACCCTATAACAAAGTTTATTGTAAATGTTAAAAAAGTACGAAGATAGTATGTAATTTCATGTAATTCCGAGACATATTGTTGTTTAAGATGCAAATTTACATTATAGTATAAGTAAGTTTTGAATAAAAAGATCAAAAGTGTATTAAAAATATTTTAGTAAAATTTCCTTTTATTCTATTCACAAGAAAAATATTTATATTTTGTTTAAAATGACAATTAAATAAATATATTTATTTTTTCATATTAAAAATTTTTAATATGTTTTTTTCTCAAAATTTAATGTTGATTATAATCAAGTAACTATCTTAAACAGTAACTTGACTAATGAGTTTTTTTTTTTTAAATAGGGGGCTTAAAGCCCAATGAAATTACTAAGAATCACGAAGAAAAGTTACAGCAAATTTATCTACAAACAAAGAAAAATAAATTCAACTAGGTGGAAAGTCGAAACAAACAACACAATTAGATAGTGAAAGACCAAATTTAGCAAGTGGTTAGTTTATCTAAGAATATGAACAAAAACTAAATTATGAATGTCACCCACCATTTTAACAATATGTTTTACTAAGAGCATCTATAATGGGGGTTGCTTATATTGCAGATGCTCTAAGGAATAACAAGGATTATCTCGAGAGCACCCATCATTCAAAAATTTGACCGCTACAGCTGAATCCAATTCAATAATAAGACCAGTCTTGATTCCGTGTTCCTTAATTAACCGAATGCCATGAAAAATAACCCATAATTTTGCTTGAAGAACAGAGCAAACTCTAATCACTCATAATATGCAAAGATAAAATTACCAAGATAATCTCTAAGTACACCTCCACAAGCTGCCAAACAAGATGTGGACACAACTCCATCACAATTGAGATTTAAAGCTTCATTCTTTGGCCGAATCCAGCTGATATAAGGTGCATCTAGCTTATTAGCATAGATTGTTGTAACATTAAAATCTTCTCCCCTACGAATTGTACTAACCCGACCTTAGATCTCATACACCACCTAGCAAGGATTAAACTGGATTTGACTAAAAACAACCATATTCCTAGCCTTCCAGATTGAATCCAAGGCCACTGCAAACATGGTAATCCATACCTGGTTTGAAACATTCAAATTTACCTCGAGCCACTATTGCAAGTTCATATTATAGAAATCACTATATAGAGTTCCACTTGATAACCAATTCCAAATTGTACTAATGAAAGTACAATCACGAAGGATGTGAAGAGAAGTTTTACAAGCTACACTGCATAAAGGACAGCTAGCATTTGTCGTTAAACCTCTTGAAAGTCTCCATGCATTTGAAACTAAACTATCATGAACAATTCGCTATAACAAACTTCTAATATGCTCAGGCCTTTCCATTCCAGATCAAAATAAAAAGATTACGTGGTCTAGAGACTGATTGAGACCAAGCCCCTTCATAAGCAGATTTAATTGAGAAGCGACCATCTGGAAACCCTCCCAATACCATAATATCTCTATTGTTATCAGAGGAAAGAGATCCAACACCTTTAATCTCAAGCAAAAGTTTGTCCAGAAGTAGCTCACGGATTAAATCCAAGTTTCAACCTCCATTCCCATTTAGATAATTAACCATTACTTTATTCTTTTCAAATAAGGGAACCAAACCTATTGTCACATTAACAAGTATTTGATGAAAGGGTAATCAACAATCAATCTAAAACTTCATTGTTCTAACATCACCAATGTTTCAAGCAATAAAAGGTTTAAAATCTTCTCGAACCGAACAAATTATTTTTGAAAAGTTTGAAGCTAATACTCTTTTATTGACTAGAGGAATGATATCATTTCCACAACCATATTTTTCACATCTCGAAACAACTTACTACACATAACATTGTATAATTTTTTTTTAATTACTTAAATTTATTTTTGCCATATATTTATTTATTTTAACTAAACACATCGAAGCCTTTATATATATATATATATATATATATATATATTTATTTTATTTTTAATTTTAATACGACAGATTTGCTGGTCCCACAAAACTGTTGTAGAGAAGTATGAGTGGTTAATACCGAGATTTTTAATTCCCTGCAACAAATAGTGGTGGCAAGCACCCTTTTGGTTTTGGGGTATTCAGGTCAACAAATTTTCTATCCAAAATTTTCCGCCACAACCAAAATACGCAGAGCTTCCAATTTATGAACCCAAGCTCTCCAGTCTCCACATGATAGTCTGTTTTTTTTCCTCCCCTTTTTTTTCTGAGTTTAATATCACAAATATAAAACTAATACTATTTGCTCAAGTGCACTCGGTTTGTGCATCTCTGGTTTGCTTTGCCTCATGGCTCTTCTCACTTTCCCTCATTTTCCTTCACTTTCTTCCTTCCCAAGCACGCGCTCTTTCTCTCGAACTCGGCGTTACTGTTCCATGAAGGCCACCGGAACCGCCATTCTGTGGTTCAAGCACGATCTCCGAACCGACGATCACCCTGCGCTTCTCGCTGCCTCCTCCACTTTTCGATCGCTGCTTCCTCTTTACGTCTTCGATCGCCGCATTCTTTCGCGTCAGTCACGAACCTCAACGCGCCGTGACTTGCGTTTATGTCGCACTTTAATATTAACGACGAAGGTTTTTTGGCGTTGCAGGTTTTTCCGACGAAACGCTGGAGCTGGTTCTGCTTGCCGTGCAAGATTTGAGGAAGTCGTTGAGGGATCGCGGCTCCGATTTGATGATCAGATTCGGCAATGCGGAGAGCGTCATTCAGCAGCTTGCGACGGAGGTTGTTACTTTGTTAGTTAGCATTTGCTTGCTTACTTTACAATGCATTCGTGCCGTTCCTATTCTTAAATTAGTTCATCGCCCAGGACGGAACAGGTCAAAGCCACTTGCGTGTTTGCCGAACAAGAGGTCGAGTACGAGCTACGTTTCATTATTGATGTGGTCAGGCAGCGTTTGAAATCCGTCACAGTTTCTCAAGGCACTCCAAGGATTGAATTATGGCAAACTCCATTTTATGATGTAAAGGTAGGTTGTTAGCGACTGATTAATCGTGTTTGCTATGTTGATTATGTAAAATGTCGAACTCGTGTCACTCAGGTGATTGTTTTGATTTTTGAGTAATTCTGCCATGTTTGAATTTGATTGAATTATTGTTATTGTTACTATTACTGCTACATAGGATCTACAAGATCTTCCTCTTTCATATGACGAGTTTAAGAAACTTCGATTCCCCGTGACTACACCACTTCAGCTGTCAGAGTCAACTTTACCTGGTGCAGAAATGGAACTGGACTGGGGTGAGTTCCCGTGGTGGATGGCTTTTCTTATCAGGATGTTTTGTTTTGATATTGGATATATTACTTTTTTCTCTAATCAAATTAATTTCCTGTACTTTACAATGTTGCCAAAGGTTATGTAATAATTGGTCATTGAATTAGGTGTTCTTCCCTCGTATGATGATGTAAAGGGCTTTATGACTAGCAACCAGCGGAAATCAGGAGAGAATTGGAGTTTAATTAAGGAGACATCAGCTGAAACTGTTTTACGCAGAAAAGTATTGAAGTCTGGCGATAGCATTGAAAGAAGTTCTGGCTTTAGGCAAACACAATCAAGGGAACGTAATGGATCTGTTTTTGTGACACAAAAAGGAAGTGTTGTAGGAGGTAGTACAAACAATGTACTGAATGCATTGGCTGCATATCTAAGATATTTGGAGGGAACAGCTCGTGATGACTGGCAAGAGTATGTAGACAACTTACGTTTTGAAAATTTTGTATTATTTTTGTTTTTCGGTAAATTTCTTTGAAGTTTGGTCATTGGAAGTTATTTTCTATAGTTGGATTCTCATTATTCTCTTCATTTTAAGGAAAAAAAATGTTCTCAAATATAAAAAAATAGTTTCATAATATTTCCCTTTTTGGTTTTCTGTTTCTGCTTTGTAAACATTTCCTCCTTTCTTTTATTACGTTCTGTTTCTCCGTATAGCAAGTAGGGATAGGAAGTGTTACGCATTGCTTCTGTTTACGTCACATGCAGCAGTGTTTTTTGTCTACTGTTTGGTCTGTTTCTCCTAAGTGATTAATTCATTAACACTTACAACGTGTTCTTTCTCATTATTCTCTATAATACTTGTTTAATCTTTGTTTTGTTGGCTAAGTTTCTAAAATTGTCATTGAAGTAAAAATAAAAATTAATGTCATGAAATGTACCTTCACGGATTCACCTTAAATTTGTGCAGGGTACACGAAAAAGTGCGTGCTTCTGAAAGTCGGAGTGGAGCATCATTCAATGAACTATTTGGTCCTGCCCTATCTCTTGGCCTTATATCTAGAAGAAGAGTACATTATGAAGCTATCAAATATGAGAAAGAACGAAATGCGGGTTTCTTATCACCCTTTGGATATTCAGCTGCTACAATTGCAGCAGCAGTTGACGCTGTGTGCTCAATGGAGGTGCTAGTTATAATTGTTATGCTGTATGGATAAAAAATTGTTGTGTACCTTATTGATTTGGTTGTCTTATCTGTAATACCAGGGTACTTGCCGAATTGTCGTAACCTTTTTCTTATTCTTTTTTTTTTTAATCAAATGATTTATTTATAAATTCTTTTGGTGTCATAGTGGTATTGGCTTGTGGCCTTGAGAAATCAGATAAATAATGAGGGAATACACTCAACGCGGATATGGAAATGGAAAGGATTTCTTATCCAGGTACTCAATTGATTGACTGATGGTCAATGCTTGATTTCTTATTAAGTCCGCTTTTCAAGAGCCCACTCGGCTTTCTGTTCTCAGTGAAATGAGTTAAGAACCTGAAATACTTAGTAATACAACTCGAGTAAAATATTTAAAATTTTCTTACTAATTTCTCATTTACATTGATTTTCTCAGTATACAGTTGCTGGTGAAGATGGTCCTGCTGTTCTTCTTGTGCATGGTTTTGGTGCCTTCTGGGAGCATTACCGTGACAACATACGTGGTTTAGCTGAATCTGGAAATAGAGTTTGGGCTATTACTATGTTAGGATTTGGCAAATCAGAAAAGCCAAATGTTGTTTATACCGAACTCTTGTGGGCTGAACTATTGAGAGATTTTATTGTTGATGTTGTGGGTGAACCAGTCCACCTTGTTGGCAACTCAATTGGCGGTATGATTTAGACATAATTGGGTACCTTGCCTAAAAAATCTGTCCTTTTCACACATTACTGCAGTAACTTGGTTCCTGTATATAATTCTTTTTAACTGTTTATTCTTGCTCATGTTGATGAGTCGATCATTTAATTATTACTTTTCTGTACTCCAGGTTATCTTGTTGCTATTGTTGCTAGTATTTGGAGTGTTTTGATCAAATCCATTGTCTTGATCAATAGTGCGGGCAATGTCATCCCAAGTTATTCTTACATACCATTGTCTGGAGTAAGTATAACCGAGAGCAACTCAAGTTCATACAACATTTGCAAGATAATGTGTTTTTTCTTTTGGGTTTGCCTGAAAAACTGAAATTTGCTTCTTCTTGCTATTGTAAAGTTTTGCTGCTATTGACTTGTAATATCTGCTCGTTAGAACCGAACAAATGTGTCCATTATAAGTAGGGCTATTCAGGAGACGGATTTTTGAAAATTTCAAACCGAATTATGGATTGATTAATCGAATTGTTTATATAAAGTAGATTGGTTTGATTTTTTAAAAAATAGATCAGATTTTTTTACTCATACATGACCCGACTTTTTCAAAAAACTGAACCGATTCAGTTTGCTATAGTTAACCAAATCATTTTTACAAAGTGGATCAGTTAGATTTTTTGCAATAGTTATATTTTTACAAATCCGATTCAGTTTGCTATAGTTAACCAAATCATTTTTACAAAGTGGATCAGTTAGATTTTTTGCAATAGTTATATTTTTACAAATCCTTTTAATAATGTATAATTTGTTCATTCCCTACAATAGAAATTGGATCCCTAGATCTTAAAATCTTAGTCTTCACCCAAAAATGCATAATATAGTGGTAAATGTATATTAAAGGTTGGGATTTTGTTAATTTCTTCAAACATTTCTTGCCATAATTTGGCATTGTTTGTGTGAGTACAACCTAATTAGTTTATTCTATTTTAAAATTTGTTTTTTGTGTACTTATAAAGATTCAGGATAGACAAACTTCAGGGGCTTCCTGGTTGGGTTCTCGCATTCTTCTATTCTACTTGAGGCTAAGAACTCAAGAAATACTTAAGAAATGTTATCCAACTGTAAGTGTAATTTTTGTTGCTAATTAGTAATTTTCAAATCTCATATATTTGTTATACATTTGGTTTGATGGTGGCTGATTTTGTTTGCTTTACAGAGAGTTGAAAGAGTAGATGGTTCGCTCATAAATGAAATACTAAGAGCTGTATCCTCTACTTTTAGAATCTAAATTATTTGTATTTCATCAGCATGTTTCACATTCTGATACACAATTCCTTTTGACATCTCCTTTACATATTAAAAGTCATATGATCCTGGCGTGCTTGTGGTGTTGGAAAGCATCTTTAGCTTTAATCTCTCCTTACCTATTAACTTTCTCCTTGAAGATGTCAAAGAAAAGGTCCTAGTTATACAGGTAACAATGTGGATATGAAATATTATGGAAAAAAAGAGATACTCTGATACTCATTATTATTATTGATATTTTCATTGCCAGGGGATGAAAGATCCAATTTCTGACTCCAATTCCAAGGTGGCTATGCTTAAAGAACATTGTGATGGAGTTATGATTAAGGAGTTAGATGCTGGTAGCTGGAGTTTTATATATTTGTACTTTTGTATAACAAGGTGCGTTTGGCTTTGTTTCAAATTGACCTATTATTTCCTTGACATTACAGGTCATTGTCCGCACGATGAGGTTCCAGAACGAGTGAATACTATCATTAGTGAGTGGATACTTGGTGTGGAAAGTAACATTTTGGCAGAGTGTCCAGTGTAGTAAAATTTATTGGTATCTAGCAACCGCCAACTGCACATAGTAAACATTCCAGCATGGTAAATTGTCCAATGCATATTAATACAGCAATACTACTCGGCAATTTATGGGTAATCGGATCCTGCACAAAGTTAATCCCACAGTCGATATAACTGTAAACAAGGCATGGTACCTGTACATGTTGCACTATAAATTTGTAGATTTAGCCTTCCTGGATTTTTGTTATGTGATCCTCCCATTTATTTATTTATTTTTGGTTCTGTGCCTTTCTGTCGTCTTCATCCCTGCCGTTTCCTCCTTGTGTATAATCTTCTGTTATTATTATGGGGTGAATATCCAGATTAGCCATGAAGTGCAAGTCTTCGCAGACGAAGCTGATGTTCACCACTGCCTCCTAAACCAGTCGTTCTACCCACACCTTCAACATTAGTTCCTTCTGGGATTTCATTTTTTCCTGGGGCTGCCGTTGCATATACTTTTCATAGATTTCTTTTTTGGGGGTACTCAGCAATATAACCAAATTTATAAGACAAATGTGGCTGGGAGCTGGCTAGCGAGGTTCATGAAAGAGATGACTCGTTCCAATAAAATGGTTGTAAAAAATATTAGTAAGTTCAACAAAATTTAAAATTAGTTTAAATAATGAAATATTATTTTAATGTCGATTTCTAAATATTATATTATAATCCATGTTAATTTAAGAAATATAAATATTATTGAAATAGTTAAGAAAATCATTATTTATTGAATAAATAATTAAAGAAAATATATTTTTTTAAAATTTTATAAGATATGCATCATAAAATAATAAAAAACCTCTAGCTGCCTGAAAAGATTATTCTGTTTTATACATAAAAAGATTTTTACTTTTTAAAATGAAAGATTAAATATATAATTGAAGATGGACTTAAAATTAACCCGCATGAGAATTGAGATGCACTCTGGAAGCAAATAAATTGAATTGAATTATATTATCAGGTTGCGTTCACTCGTTGCTTACAAAAAACGGAAAGTTAGAAGATCATGCGATATTATGCATTCTTTAGCAATACTAGCAAGGGGATGACTATTATTTCAAAACGAAAACGAACTACCAATGGAATGTTTCCAATAAAAATTGAATCCAATGCCTCTGTTTAACTTGTTCGATTGTACGTAACTACGTATTAGTTAACTCGATACTTATTTGCGAAGTCCATGTAAATGTTACATAGCATTTTAGGTCGAGAAAATCTATGGTATTCATATTATTTGAGGGAGTACCAGTATAGTTATAATTATAATTTTATTTTATATTTTATATTTTTAATAATTTATTTAAATAATATTTATGATATTTTATTCTTTTATTTTTTAAATTATTTAATCATTTTATTTTATATATTTTAATTTTACTTGTAATAATATTATTATATATTAAATAGTTTAATTTTAATAACTTTTTAAGTATATTTTTGTCTTTTTCAGTTTAAATTTTTGAATTTCTATATTGTAATTTTAATAATTTTTTTAAGTATATGGCAAGAAATGTTTAGACTTTAAGATTAATTTATATAATATTTATGATATTTTATTCTTTCATTATTTTAAATTATTTAATTATTTTATTTTTATTTTATATGTTTTAATTTTTTTTGTAATAATATTATTATATATTTAAATAGTTTAATTTTAATAATTTTTAAGTATATTTTTTGTTTTTTTACCTTAAATTTTTTAATTTCTATATTATAATAATTTTTTATTTCTATTATTTATTAAAAAAAATTTTTAATGTTTTATAGCATTATTGAAATTTTATAATTTTAATCATTATAATTTTGTCTTACTTTTTATTTTATAAATATAATTTGAATTATTTATTTTATAATTAAATTAGTGTTATTTTTTTAGATTTTATGAGTTTACATAAGGAAATGTCCTGAAACCTCTCGATCTTTGAAAGTATCATAGTAATTTTTTTTACGTTATGTTTAGACATAAAAAGAACATGAATAGGAGGAAATAAGAAAAAAGTAAAAATATGATGATTTTTTTTATAGTTTATTTAGATTGAAAAAGGAAGAAAGGAGAGGTAAAAATAATTTAAAATAAAGCATTTCTAAGAACGTGAATAGGAGGAAATAAGAAAAAAAGTAAAAATAGATAATTTTTTAATAATTTATTTAAATTGAAAAAAGAAAAAAAGAGAGGTAAAAATAATTTAAAATAAAGCATTTCTATCTCTATATAAATTCATGTATATAAGAAAAAGATAAGAAAAATACTATTTTATTTTTAACAATACTATTGTGAGTTGCAACGATTTTTATTTTTCTCTTTCTAGTTTTTGATACATCTTGACGAGAGAAATGCAACTTTTCTATGGCACTTCCCTTGCCTCAACTTTTCAAATTAAGTTCCATATATATAATAATATTTGAATTTCATTATTGGCAAGGACATATAAAATTAAATCATATTATATATTAATGTTCCTAAAAAATGAAAAAAAATAAGAAGATATTTTATAATGAACTGAATAAATCAAGTTCATCCTGCAGGTTTCTCTAAAAAAAAATAAAAAAAAGGTTCATCCTGCATTAGTCTATGAAGCCGCTTGAATTATTTTAAAACCTTGAGTATTTAATATTATTCCTCAAAACTTGATCCATAATCAAACGCTTGGGAGTTCCGAAGGTGCAGTTCAAATTATCGCTCTCACGGTGGCTGGAATTCAACTGAATCGCTTCTTCATCCTCCACCGTCTGGCGAACGAACGATCAGCGTTCTCGGTAAGTAAACCAAACCAGCTAGGTATTTATTTGACTCTGTTTCATTCAGTGTCAAAATATGCGTACATTGCCAAATCTCTCGTATGACGTGTCTGACTAATTGATCGAAGAATCGTTTTCATCTCCGCAGTTCCGATGTCTAAAGGCAAAGAGGCTACTAATCTGTCACGCACCTTCAAATACCTATTAGGTCAGGTTATTATTTTCGTGTTTAAAATATATTTGACATGTCGTTCAAAATTCAGTTACGCTGGAGTTGAATTTAAGTTTATTTATTTGGGTTTTCACTAAGAAAGCTTTATATCCTGCAATGTGAGTTAGCTGATTTGATATTTTCCCTTTCCATTTTGCGTTTTTTCAAATATCATGAATCCAGCTACTCAGTTCTTGTCACGAGGGATTCCATTTATATTCAATACATGGATTGTGAGGCATCTTACAGAAGAGGACTACGCGGTAACTGTTTTTCTAGACTCTGATTAATGTTGATTGCTAGCTCTATTTCCCTGTGCATAATTGCAACTTCAAACTTAAGAGATGTGTTTTATAGTTGTGTTGTCTCCTTTCATTTTTTTTGGAATTGATTTACTCTTTTGCCTCCTGCTTTAGTTTTAAATTTTTTTATTTGGGCGTCAGTTTTTGTACATTATGTTTTTCGTGTCATTATAAGCTGCATTGTAAGCCTTATGATAAAAATTGATTTACCATCATGACACCTTTCTTTGATGCAGCTTTATGCAGTGCAGTTTCAACTGTTTGTCACATGCATTTTATTTCTTAGCCGGGAGGGCTTTCGACGAGCATGCTTGCGGATGGACCTGAAATGGTGATCCCTTATGCTTTTCTAATTTTATTAGGTAGGAATAAGAAATTAAAGAAATTGTGCTCCACACTTTTTGTCAAGTGTTAGATATACAATGAGAACCGAATAAGGACAGCAGTTTATCAGTTAGTGCATTAGTTAGACTGGTTTGTTAGTTAGAAGGTATTGGTCACATAAATAGGGGAAATCAGATTGGGGAGATGGCATTCAGTGTATTTGACATGTTTGTGAGTGAATGGAGAGATCCTTTGTGAAGGGGAAAACTTTGGAGAGAATTCTACTCTCCATTTTCCGTTCTGTTTTCAATAATATTGTTCTATTCTTTTGATTCTTTCTATATAATATCCTCTTATCTTTTGATCCTATCATACAGTTATTTTGGTTTAATTTGAATTCTTCGTTCAAATCCTTCTTAATAATTGGGCTTCTTCCGTGCTTGATAAAGATGGGTTTGCTAGTTCTTTGGCCACCCTTTGATTATGCTTGTATGCTCTATGTTTGTGGGCTACTTTTTTGTAACATGCTTCAAAAGAAATAAGAAAATGACTTGTGTTAGATTTAAAGCTACAGCTTAATAGGTGAGTGCCATATCTGTTTATAGTTTGGTTGAAAGATCTAGTAAAATGTTGAATTGAGTCTCTCAATTCTTTGATAGTTTAGAATATTATGTATTTCAAAAATATTATAATTCAAATAATGTGAATAAAGGGTTTATTTCTTTCATTGATTTTTTTAATTCGATGTTCCTACACTCAAGCGAGCTTCATTTGTTATATGCATTTTTTTTTTATAGTGATGGCACTTCAATGGGAGATGTTGTGAAGCTAATGAAAGTAGTGTGGATGAGTTTCCCACTTGGAATATTTATTACAATTGTAGTATGCCTTTTTGTCTTCTGGTGGCAACAAATAAGTTATTGTAGTCCACATGGACAAGCTATCTTGATAAATGGTAATTTAATGTAGCTTTTTGTCATCTATATACATTTTTTTTTCTTCTTCTTCTTCTTCTTCTTCTTCTTGTATGGGTTCAGTATTTTTTCCATAATCTTATCTCCCTTCTAAACATATAAAACCAAATATCCTTAAATAACTCCTCAAAATATCAGATGACATAAAATTTGGGATTTTACAAGTGAAGTTCACTTGTTATGCCAGGTTTTGCATGCATTCTGGAGCTCTTAGCTGAGCCTGCGTATATTCTTTCACAGAACTTGGTCTTGCTTGAATTGCGGCTGATGGTTGAGACTGTAGCTACTTTGTCGCGGTGCTTGACAATGTATTTTCTAATTGTGAAGCAAATTGGAATTGTAAGTGCTTAGTCATAGCAATAGATTTTGATCTTTACTTTCCTTTTCGTCAAGCATATAGTCAGTGCATTCTCTGTTATTCTTGTAGCATGCTAATGACAGATTAATTCTTGGACTGACTTCTATGTTGCTAGTTTTTGTGGTTTCAGCAAATTACCGTTGACTGTTGATTTTCTTTTTTGTTTACCAACATTTGTTAATACATATCAGAACATTGAGACTATCAGACCAAGGGCTATATTCTTTTTTGCTGATTAAATAATTTGTTACATTCTTGAATCTCGTGAATTGAAGGTTGTTTAGATGAATCAGACATGTAATACAATGACCAACAAAAATCACAGAAAGTAAAAGTTGTAGAAAATAGAGAAATAGACTGCTAAACTAAAAATATTAATCAGTCTGGATATAGATGTTTTCTTCTTTTCTAGAATTTCTAAGGGACTGTTATGTACACATGTTTTGGATTCTTGACAATAGTGTATAAGCTTATGCTATTAGGTGGAGACCCAAAAATATTTTATATTTCTAACAGATGTCTCCTTGTAAATGCAACTGATTCAGAGTTTATTGACCATTTCCAGGAAAAATCAATCATATTTGCATTGTCACAGTCTGCATATGGAGCCTGCATATTTTTCGGTTACTGGGGCTATCTTTTGCTTTTCCAAAAATTTAGGGCTTCATACCTTTTTCCATTAAGGTATAGTTATTTTATTTTGTCATAAATATCTCTACATGGTTGTTACCTGTTACTTTTATCATTTTCTCTTCCAAAAGAAGACAAAGCAAATTATAAATACTCTGACTGTCCATGAAACTAGAACTAGGTAGAGTCACATAAGGAGAGGATTAATATTTTAGGAGTTATGTTGGTTATGCTCTAGCTAACTTCATGGAAATTAATTTTCTGCTCTAAGATACTCTAAGCAGTTATTTGACAAGCTTGCTTAGAATTAGAAATATGATAGGCTTGATCTTCTGAGGTAATTGCAGAGGGATAATGTTTGCCAGATGCTACACCCTGTAAAATTTATTGATCATGGTAAGTTTTTTTTGTTTCTCTTGTGGATATATGCCTCTAGTTTGCTGTAGGTTGACCCATGTCTAATTTCATGTTTATAATATTACCTCTATTTTGTTACGGCTGAGATAATGCTATTCTCAACTGACCTTGTCATCTGATTGTTTTACATGTTAAGATGCTGTGTTTTTCTCCTGATGTAATACATGATATATTAAATGTGCTTTGCTATGAAAACTGGAAACTGGAAATCATATCCCAACTTAATTTTGTTAGATGTCTCCTCATTTATCATCAATGTACGATTTATAAGTAACAAATTTTGCAGAGAAGGAAAAGTGATTGATTTTGACCAGCAGCTGTCCAAGATGTGTATACTGTTTACCTTTCAATCCTTTCGAAAATTGATCCTTCAGGAAGGAGAAAAGATAGTACTTGTATGGTTGGATACACCATATAATCAAGCAGTATATGGCCTGGTGGACAAATTAGGTTGGTATTTGGTTTGGGTAATTTGTGTCAGAAAGCTTAATTATTATGTCCTAAATATAATTGCATTAGAAACATGATAAATGTTTCTTACCTAAACACATTTGTCTTTTGTAAAAAATCACCACCTTTCAGGTAGCTTAGTGGTGAGACTTGTCTTTTTACCTTTTGAAGAAAGTTCATATGCAACATTTGCAAGGTCTGCTTCAGGTTCTATTTCTCTCTTGTTTACTTGATGTTTGGACCAGAAAACCTGAATGTCTTAACTATTATTTGCTTCTACTTTACTTGTGCTTCTTCCTTTTGTTTCCTCATATTGCATAATGCATATTGCTTTTTAGGGTGTAATTCTTAATTTGCCCCATTTCTCTCTCCGTCATTTGCCAGGGTAGTTGTGTTTGTCTATTAGGTTTAACTATGAATCCTCTCATATTTTTAGATATATAAATTATAATGCTTTAAGAAATTGATCAACCAAAGTCAATTTCTTAATGAAACAATAGAGTGGGACGGGCTCAACATATGCTAGCAGTATATAACTTATATCATATACCATGGCAAAATATAGCTATTTCCATATGTATGACATTCTTTTAGATACACACATTAAGGTCTTGGTCATGATTTCATGACTATGTTAAGAATATTTTATCTAGACTTCTAATTTCTGTCCTAAGCATATCATGCAGAGTTCTGTTCATATAATAATAAATTTAATATTTTTTGTTGGGCATACAACCATAGAGAAATGGTTTTCAATATCACAAACTGAAATATGTTTTGGTCATTCCTGACAGGAGAATATCCAGGAAAAAGCAAGAAATTGGGAAACTACTTGACAGAATCCCTTAAGTTAGTTTTGTTGATTGGTATGTCTTTTCATTTAATTTCATTTTTTTTTTCTGGATACATATTTGTTAGTTCCTATTATTTAGTCAAGAAATTATTTCTGGTCCTTATATGAAGAAAGATGGAAATTTACCTTTATCTTAGTTTGACTATGTATGATCAATGGTTCTGCAAAGGTTGCAAAATTAAGAAATGTCGGTGTTGAATCTTCCTCGGCATTGTTCACTTAAGTTGTATCTAGACATAAATTACTTAATAACCATATTTGATGCTATGTTGTGTCGTTGCCTAATATTCAGTTTGGTGTAAAATGCTGTACTGAACCATTCTTTTCTCTTCTGCAGAAATAAGAAAACTTAAACCTGTGTGTTCCTCTTTTTTCCATGTATGAATTTCTTTTTTGAAAAGTGAGAAACAAGAATAAAAGAAAGCTAGAATCTAACTCTTTATGAGATTGTTATCCTTTTCCTTGGATGAGTATTGAGTGAACACACCTAACAAGATAGAATCGGAATGTGCATTAAAGCCTTTTCATGAGAAACTGAAAAAAAATGTGGTCTTCTTGGTGAATGACATTTGTGGACATATAACTTGATACAAACAGTGATGATGATCCCATAATGAGGATGTTATTCCAGGCATATATCTAGTTTGCACAATTTTGAGAATTTTAATGACAACTACACTTTTTTAGTCACGAGCAACAATTATTTTCAGCTTCATGACTCCATCTGAGTTTAGGTGGCCTGCATAATGTTTCCTCTCGAACACAAATTGAGCCACTTATGCAGTTGTAAAGAGATGTGGCTACAAGACTTTGTGTAAATAGCTTTATTTTTTCCACTCAGGAAGAGATGTTTTGGACATGTTTTGCCTTAAATTGTATATTTTATTGTTTCTTTTGAGATATCATATCCAACTTAATGTTTTGCAGGCCTGGTTTTTATGGCATTTGGTCCAAGTTATTCTTATTCACTCATTAGATTGTTATATGGTGAAAAATGGAGTGATGGAGAAGCATCAACTGCCCTCCGCTATTATTGCTTTTATGTCATTGTTTTGGCCATGAATGGTAATTTACCTTGCGTCTTGCTCATTTTTTTTATTCCATAAGTACATTGATCATTTGCAGTTACAATCATAACATCTCATGTTTATTATTCTTCATAAAATCTAAATATTTTACATACAATGTTTTATGGGGGCACTATTTTCAAAATTTAATAGGAATTGGTAAATGCGTTAGATAAGCTTTATTAGTAGTCAGATCCTATTTGGATAAATTTCTCCGTAAAGCTTGTAAGAGAAGAAAATAAAAAGGTAAAATTCATTGAACTTCTCCAACTAAAATCAACTTATGCACCTTAGTTTTTGGAGAAGTTAAAATAATGCACAAGTTGATTTTAACTTATGTGGGAAGGTCAATTTATTTTACTTTATTATTTTCTTCTCCTATTAGTGTTTAAGGAGAAATTTATCAACAAAGCCTTACTTAGTCAATTAGTGGGTTACTTGGAGAGAAGTGGGTCATGATGTAGGAAGAGGGGTTTCTTTTTGTTTTTTTTTTTTTTTTTGAGGGGGTTAGGGGGTATGTTTAAATTTGGGTGGGTATGGCTGGAGTGAAGTGAGAAACCTACTTACATATGTTATACACTAAGGAAGACCGTTAGTTAGCCAATATAATGCATTATAATTTTTTTATTCCAAGTCAAATTGTTCAATTAGTAGTGCTGCAGCTTGTAGGTGTGATTTACTTGAATGTCTAATACCTGTTGATAGCAAAGTTCTCTGAACCATTAGAGTCTGACTGAAATAAGTAGTTTTAATCCAATACTCATTTTACATTTACTTGCTTTCCTTGACTAGCTAGCTAGTGGATCAAATTTTCATTATGATAATGTTTCTTTCCTTGCTTCAGGTACCTCTGAATCCTTTATGCATGCAGTTGCATCAGAGAGCCAACTCAAGCGTTCAAATGATTCACTACTTATATTCTCTTTGATCTATATAGTTTTGAATGTCCTGTTAATAAGGTTAGCTGGGGCAGTTGGCTTGATTATGGCAAATTCTCTCAGTATCCTTTCTATCCCTCACAGTTATTTATTTCATGCTGTTTCACAATTTACATTTGTTTTTTCCTTATGGAAAGCCATGTGGATGCTCAAACATTTCAGTTATTATTTATAACCTATTGATCCAAATGAAAGTTCAAAGAAAATTATGATCTAAATGCGAAAGAGATTATGAGGGAAATTGAAGGGCATTCATCACCAAATAGATGAAAAAAAAATTGAAAGGGAGAATCAAATAAAGGAAATATTCTATCTCTTGGTTTAATTGTGTATTTTACTACTGTAATTATTGATATTTATCAACGTGCTGGATTGAATTCCTTTTCTTTTTTGAATCTTGCATCTAAATGCAGCTCAATAGCATCACTATGAAGATTTTGTGACTGTGAGGAGCAATGATTAGGAATTTGTGTATTCTGTTATTGTCATTGGCTTTCCAGCTCTTGATTATGGTGATTGAAATTTGAAAACTGTGCCTAGGTAATGAGAAAATTTATGGTTGCTACATATTTATATGATCTCTATGTTCTATAATGGAGACATAGACACGTTAAATCAAATGGCTGCTGTATTGTCCGATAGCTTGCTCCCGAGTCTTATGTTTTGCCTAGACAAGTAATGCTGACAGCATACCAATTTGTTTTTTACAGTTAGACTCGGTAACCTAGATACTTCTGTATAAGCTGCTAAAATCTGTGTCATTATTAGTTCAACTATTACTAATTTACCAATAAGATACTGTAGGATTTCTACAAATGTTCTCTACGTTAATCTCCCAAGAATTTTATGTGTTCCCTATCAATACAACCTTCGATTTCCATATTTAATTTGCATCTTTAGTAGAAAAGAAAAATATTCTCTATGGTTACTTGACTCGATTAAAAAGATATGACCTTGAGGATTTTATACTCTGCTACATTCATAAAGAGTTACTTCCAGGTATGACTATTAGCTTTGATTTGGCCAACTGTAATTTGATGCTAGTTCTGACCCTGGATTTCATATTTTTACTCCACAGGGATCTTCCTCATTTTCTTTCAGTGGATGCTTGCCGTCAGGATGGATAATTCTATTTCTTTCGGGCATAATCACTTTCATTTCTGAGAATGTATTTCTGGACCGAGATAATTTCTGGCCATCATTTATGATCCATCTCTCCGTTGGGCTGGGTTGCTTCTGTGTGTCATCATATGTGATGTATATTCTTATTTCCTTTATTTACTTTTTTTTTTCCTTCTAAGATCTTGTGTTATTACGATTTTTTTTCTCGTTTCCTTTTTTAGTTAATATACTTTACTTTTCTTTCTCTTTTAGCTATTGCCGGGAAAAACCTTTCATCAGAAGAATTATTCGCTTTAATGATCATTTGGACTGAAGACTTAGACTTCTGCAATATAACTTTGAGGTGAGTTTTGTTTATCCTTGAAACAACTAGTTTTTTAAAGATTTATCCTTGGACATGATGTATAGCAATTTTGTGCAGTTAGTGGAAGATGATGGATTGCGAGTTAGTTTTCTACAGGCTATATCCTAAGCAGCAGAATAGTGGCAGACATAACTTCAGTGGTACAAATTTTGGTACATGTATAATACTACTTTAGCTTTGATTTTCTATAAACTACTGACATAATGAATTCAAACTGACAATTTGTTCTTTGTGGTTTCTGCAAATGTCTATTTACTTAAATTTAAATTTTTGGTGAAGTTAAGCAGTTTTTAGTGTACCGTATACATAACAAATTTGTAGTGACATTGTGACGTGAATAAAGACAGTAAGATAGTGTTTTCTATTGTTCCTTAAATTCTTAGATGCATATTTCCTGGAAGGTTTCATATTGCATCTTCTTACGAGGGGAATATTAAATTGCATTTAATTTGGGAAAAAAAAATAAAAAGATCCGCATGCGTGTTTCATGCTTGTGGTCATAATGTTTAAAGTTGAAAAGGTCATTGGAATTTCCTTGTTGCTTTCTTTCTGTATTAGTATTGTTTCGGCATAATTGCTATTCATTTTGATTTTGTAGCTTAAAAATATTAATAATCTCTTTTCAAGGACAAAGGTGGTGTGACAGGCATATTTCTATAATAATAAAAAAATTCTGAGAGATCAGGGCTCTATATGGTCAAGCATTTTGGATTTCCAATATGTAAATTATAAACCAAACACTTTGTTTATACCGCAAGCAGCATCAAAGGTCTCCAGTCACCATGTCAAGTACCAAATTTTAGGTTTTATTTACTTGAAATTGTCAGTTGTTTTTGCGTATTGTAGATATTACGAAAATGAGGTACCGAAAGCTATTATATTACGGGACACCTTTTAAATGACGAGTTTACAGTGACGGAAAATTCCAATGGCTTTACTGTTTATAAAAAAGACAAATCACGCTTTTATTTCTTTCGGTTTTAATTAAATTAGGGCAAATCATATTGATACTCTTGTTGATTTTTTGAAATTTCACCCAATCTTTTGCCTTTTCAAGATGTACTGAAATCTCTTTTAATTGTTTGAAATACATTATTCCGTGTGTTCCTATTGTTTAAGAAGTATATATCGTATATTTTTGTAAGTGGGGTTACAATAGATGTTAAAAATGTAGAAATATTTTAAGAAATTACAGAGTATCATCATAATTTATCTATACAAATGATACTCGATATCTTCCCCCCTCTCTCTCTCTTAAGATATTATTTTGATCTCGCATAATTCTTATAAATGCATGAGATGTATTGACAAGAAAGATTGTTATAAAAACTAAGGGAAATTTAATTATGTGTTTTTGTTTGGTTTATAAAAGAAAGATGAATGAAAGAAAGTGAGAAGAGAATAAGAGTAGAAAATAAATTGTGTGTTTAGTAGTTTGGTAGAAGAGAAAAGAATAGGAAAAAGTGAGGAAAGAAAGTAATATATTTAAAAAATGATATAAATATTTCTAAATAAAAATAGAATATAGCTTTATTTGTATATGTTGTAGTCATTAATGATATTTTCCTTTTTAAATTGGAAGAAATAGATTTTAGTGTGATACTTATCAAATTTTTTTCTTTCTTCCAATGTTTACTTGTTTACGAAAAGGGGGATTTTGTTTTATTTTATCGTAAGCATGAGTTCCTTTGTAATCGTATCTTTTTCTTTTCCTTTCCCTTCAGCTATTTGTCATACCCACCAAACGGAGTGATAAAGTCTAAAAATCTAGCAAAATTTTATTTAAGAGATGAGTATAATTTGACAAAAATACTTTTAAGACAATTTGAAATAAAATTTGTTTGAATATAAGTTAAGAAATGTTTTGGAGAATTTACTTACTAAAAATAACTTTATTTTTAATAAAAAGAAATTGTAAAAAAGATTTCTGACTTATATTCAAGTAGACACATAATATTTAATATATGAGATGTGAAATATAATAATAAAGGTGGCTTTCTATTTAATAAATGGAATTTCTGGATACAGTACTTTTAAAATAGGAAATTGTTAAATCTTCATTTCGTAATTAAAAAACAATATTTGAGGTTTGAAGACTTGTGAGGAGAATAGGTATCTGTCAGTGATATGGGTGAGGCAGAAATGTCAAAAGTCAAAACCAATTGACGAAAAGCCAATGAGTGATGACGGAAATGGCTAGAAAGAAACAAAGGTGATGATTCATGACACCCACCCGCCACGGGTATGTTTGTTGGCACTACAAATTATCAACAATGGTAATTATAATCTTTGAAAGCTTAGAAAAAAAAGTTGAAAGAGCAGATGAAGCTTATGATTAAAATGCAGACTAGGATTTTAGACTAGTATGAGTATCCAACCACCAAAACGAGTATAAATAAAGTGAGTTCCATCTTCTAAAACAAAATGATGACATTTTTTGAGTTTTGCTTAAGAGGTTGGATATTTCGTGGACTTCACCACAGAGTGGTTTCTTGCTTTATATTGCAACATTGCATGGCTACCTCTGACACATGTTCACCGTAGATAGGAAAACCAAGATTGAAATCTAACCAAAAAATAAATAAATAAATAAATAAACTTTTAGTGCCAATTGTTCAACTTTATCGCGATGAATATTTTGGAAGATATGCTTAAACAAATATTTATGTATTTGATTGAGAAAGTGTGATCGGCGGTGAACATTTTAGCGGCACAAGGGTGAAAAGGGAAATCAAAAAAGGAAAGAAGAATGGCACTCCTGGTCAATGAAGTCAAGCCATGTCAATTCTCAAAGATATGAGAATCAAAACAACCCAAATAAAACAATTTAAGTATTTCTTAGGTTGTGTTAGGATAAAGTTATTTAAAAGTAATTTTAAGAGAGAGAAAAAATAAAATAATTTTTTATACATTAAAATTAACTAATACATAAATTAAAATATATTTTAAAAAGCTAATATTGGAAAGATTTTATAAATGATTTTACATATAAATTAATTTCAATTTTTTTTTTTTCTTTTGGAAGTAATTTTTAGAAGAGTCAATCCAAACATGTCTTTAGTGATACTTTGAATCTTCCCAGGAGGTGGCCCCTTTCCCCTAACAATATTTTTGCATTTTAATATCTATTATCTACCCAAATATTGTGCTCTGATGCATTAGGCTTAAAAAATGGAAAATAAAAATGTAAAGAAGGAAACAAAGTGAAATTGTTAATATCCAAAATGTTGATGAGAAAAGCTTGAATGTCATGCATGCAAAGATTCATGAACCGACGATGAAGTTAAGAAATGATTCATTGTGTTATTATGCAGACACTTGCCTGGCATAGACATTATTGTCCAAATATATCCACATGAAAAGGAAAGCTTAAGAATGTGAAATTTTTTTAACTTCAGAATGAGAGCATTTCCCAAATATCTCTCTCCCCTCATCCCTCCAAAAAAAAACCTCTGATTCCATTACCATTATGCTTTGTCGCATTACTTTAGAAGGTCTAAATCATTTGCTTGTCAATTCAGCTCTTCTCACACTCGCAAATAACTAGCTGTGCTCTCATATCTCGTGTTAAAGCATCTTTTTTGCAACAAACACCATATGAATATGATAAAAATTGACATGTAATGATTATATATGGGACCCTATACTCTTAAGTTCCCCTCATAACTTTGCTTTAGTTAAATTCACCTAAGGTCTCATAAAAGGTTCACCAACAACCAAAGTAATGGTTTCAAATTCCTCATCACTATGAGTTCTTCATCACATGGATCTATCATCCATCTCCCAATTATCCTCTCTAACTTTTTTCTAATTTGCCAAGAAAAGTTAGTTTATTTTTACGTGATGTACAACTAATCTCTCACCGATTAACCAATGAACTTGTCTTTTTTTCTTTCCTTTTACTTTCTTTTTTATTATAAGTTAAGTTGGATGTTATTAATTAACATCCATCCTTTTCAATGAGATCCTTATTTTTGTTTCTCTTGTCTTCATTTTTTTTCTTGTCCTATTTTCAATTTTTCAGGGTGGGTCAGTGGTGGTGGTCCCGGTATAAGTCTTTCACTCATTTTTTTAATGCTAATCTAAATTTTATTCCTCTTTTAAGTTTTCACATTTGTTTTTATTTATATACTGTATATAGAAGTTATTGAATAATCTTCTAAACCAAAAAGTATATAACATTTTGAATTTTATTTAAGATTGTTTGAAGGATACGTATTTACCCTTATATAGTTGTAGCTATTATTGTTCATTACCTTTTTGTGATGAGATCATCCATGTAAGTTGTAAATTGCTTTTTAAAATGGATTAAATCAAACACTTATCACCCTGGGGTGAAAAGACTAGAACTCTTAAAGAGTGCGTCATACTATAGACATAGTTGAACCACTGATATTTGTAACAGCACAAATGACTGGATTTGGTGACTATTTAATTTAAAGATAAATGATATAACCTTAGTCACAATCACAATATACAGTACATAATAAGGAACTAAATTTCTCATAACTAATAATTTGGTCGTAGAGATTAAGTTGTGGATGATTGAATTTGACGAGTGTAGCGCATTCCCTAAGGGGTATAACAGTAAACACTTGGATTAAATCAAGTGTTGATCAATCTTGACTTAGAGAAAAGGTGTCACATGCTCTCACTTCACTCTTCTTCAAACCCTCATTATTCTGTTCTCCACTTTGATTAGAAATTATTATAATTAGAATTATAATGCAAAGACAAAAGAGAAGGGTGAAAACTGTTAAGTCAAAGACTAATATTAAGGAGTGCAATGGAAGGACACTGTTATTCCCTGCAAAAAGAATGTAAGTGGATGGACCCCAAACCCACTTTTGCTACCCAACTCATCTCATCTCATCTCCCTCTTGATTATAGGTTTCAAACTTTTTCATCATTCCCTTTGTGGACCTCTCTTCTCTATTCAATTTATGTGTGTATCTATTCCCATAACAGTTTCCGTTTTGTTTATATCTCTCTCTCTCTCTCTGCATGCTGTCTTGTCCTTTTTTTACAGCTTTGGTGTGATAGCCTTAATTTGCTTTCCTCTATGCCCATTGAGGAGAGTTTGATGCAAAAGAAAAAGCCATATATAACTGTTAATAACATTCAGATGTCTGCGGTTCTTTGGTTTCTATTTTTCCGAGGACACATAACACTGCCCCATGTCACACATTCTAGACATTCACTAGCACCACCTTAGCTAGTACCTTACCCTTTTTTTTTCTCTTCCTTTTGCGGTTTTTTACGCATAGGAACGTGCATGATTCTCTCTGCATTGCATTCAATACTCTGATTTGTGAACATCTCATTTTTTGAATTGTGCCTCTTAGAGGGAGAGGGGGGAAAAATAGAGC